TTTGTCCGGGACTTTACTCTAAATGTATAAGAGATATCAACATGAAACTTTGTAGGTAGATAGATCTCATTGAGTAAGTTTGCAATGTACAAGAACTGTAACACTGTCTTGCCTACTTTTGGAGTTATTGCCCTTTGTTCATTTTGACACTTTGAACTTTGTCCGGGACATTACTCTAAAATTATAAGAGATATCAACATGAAACTTTGTAGATAGATAGGTCTCATTGGGTGGAAGTGCAGTGCTTAAGAATCATTACTCTGCCTTGCCTTATTTTGAAGTAATTACCCTTTGTTTATTTTTACTTTTTGACTTTTGTCCGTGACATAACTTTAAAACTATAAGAGATATCAACATGAAACTTTGTAGGTAGCTAGATATAATTTGATAGAACTGCAATGCTTAAAGAACCTAAACAAAGCCTGGTCTAATTTTGGAGTTATTGCCCTTTGTTCATATTTTACCCGGGACATAACTCTGATATCATCAGGAAACTTTATAGATAGATAGATAGATCTCATTGAATAGAAGTGCAGTGCAAAAAAAACATAACTCTGCTTTGCCTTATTTTGGAGTTTTTTGCCCTTTGTTCATTTTTTTATACTTTCCTGTGTCCAGAACCTTCTCGGGGAGCATCACCCGGTTCAACCGGTTCTTGTTTATATATGTGTACCTATTATGCAATTATTCTAAGAAAAGATTCAATAGCTGGGAGTTTATCTAAGCCTAAAAAGGTCATGACCTTCAGCAAGAGAGATGTTCGCTTTGCAGGGGATATTTATATAAAATGATCTGAGCACATTATAAGGACATTATGATTCATACCATGATTCAAAATCATGAATGTTTTTTTTTATATTTTCAGAAATAAGTAATGCTTAATTGAAAACATAGTATTTAAGAAAAATAACTGTAACTGTATTTCAAAGTTTAATACATCTATGTAATACAGTAAATACCAAAATTTTTATAAGTAATAATTATACTTTTATTCTTTATGAATACTTTGTATCTAAACATTAGACACATCTGCACATTGTCTTTCATTTGAAATGTTAAAATTCGAGCTTGACCCCAAATTCATTGTGTAGACACTTCTGCATTTTGGCAAAGTTCAGTTGTATAGGAACAAAAAAATCTACTTCTGTTATTATATTTATGTGGTGGCATAGCATTTTTTTTCACAAATGCAATTTTATTAGCTCGACTTTTTTTTTTTTTTTTTTTTTTTGAAGTAGAGGTATTGTTATAGTCGGGTCGGCGTTGCCGTTGCCGTTGCCGTCCGCAAACTTGTACCTGGATCATAACTTTTTTATTTCTTGGTGTATTGTCTTCATACTTGGCCACAACAACCCTTGGGACAAGACCACACTAACCTTGACCTTCATCCATAAATGACATTGACCTTCAAGGTTAAAAGTCCAATTTTTGCTTGTTCATGCTGTTATTGGCTGTAACTTTGTTATTTTTGAATGGATTGTCTTCAAACTTGAACATAATAATCTTCAAGGATATCCCTTAAAAATAACCCTCCAGACCTTGACCTTCACTCATAAATGACCTTGACTTTGAAGGTCAAATTATTGAAATTTTCATTTTTTTGGCTATTATTGGCTGTAACTTTGTTATTTTTGAATGGATTGTCTTCAAACTTGAACATAATTATCTTCAGGGATATCCCTTAAAAATAACTAGACAGACCTTGACCTTCACTCATAAATGACCTTGACTTTGAAGGTCAAATTATTGAAATTTTCATTTTTTTGGCTATTATTGGCTGTAACTTTGTTATTTTTGAATGGATTGTCTTGAAACTTGAACATAATAATCTTCAAAGATAACTGTTAAAAATATACCGAAATACATTGACCTTCACTCATTAATGACATTGTCTTTGAAGGTCAAATTGTTGAAATTTTCATTGTTTTGGCGGTAACTGACTGTAACTTTGCTATTATTGAAGGGATCAACTTCATATTATAATAGAGCATTCTTAAGGACCAGACCTTGTTGTTTATCAAACCCAAATTTGCTTGGGCTCTTTAATGACCTTGACCTTGAAGGTTAAATTAGATTTGTGCATTAAATGACCATAATTATATATTTATTGGTGTGTGTGTGTGTGTGTGTGTGTATATATATATTTACAACAACAACAACAACAAGAATTGCGTAATGTTTCTATTTATAGAATTGCGTCATTGTTTATATTTATAGAATTGCGTCATTGTTTCTATTTATAGAATTGGGTCATTGTTTCTATTTATAGAATTGCGTCATTGTTTCTATTTATAGAAATTGCGTCATTGTTTCTATTTTTAGAAATTGCGTCATTGTTTCTATTTTCAGAAATTGCGTCATTGTTTCTATTTTTAGAAATTGCGTCATTGTTTCTATTTTTAGAAATTGCGTCATTGTTGCTATTTTTAGAAATTGCGTCATTGTTGCTATTTATAGAAATTGCGTCATTGTTGCTATTTTTAGAAATTGCGTCATTGTATTGCGTCATTGTTGCTATTTTCAGAAATTGCGTCATTGTTTCTATTTTTAGAAATTGCGTTATGTTGCTATTTTTAGAAATTGCGTCATGTTGCTATTTTTAGAAATTGCGTAATGTTGCTATTTTTAGAAATTGCGTAATGTTTCTATTCATATATATATGCAAAATATATAAACAAAACTAATGTGACAAGACAGACCAACTAAATTTATAAAAAGGAAACGTTAAGATATGTTCAAACCTTTTTATGTTTGCGTTTAGAAAAAAGTAAAAAGTCGAGCGTTGCCCCCGCCCGGCGGTGGCTCTTGTTTGTTATTTGATAAACAGCTATGAAATTTGGACCATGTGCACAGTTTCAGATGTAGAATTGAACTTTGATATCAGCTGACCAAGATTTTTACAACGTGACCTTTGTTCTTTTTTCTTTGATGTTGATATGAAATTTTGACCTTGTGCACACTTTTAGATGTAAAATTGAACTTTGATATCAGTTGACCTTGATAATTTGACAAAGTGACCTACTTTTTTGTCCTTGATAAAAAGCTATGAAATTTGGACCAATTGCATAGTTTCAGATGTAAAATTTAACTTTGATATCAGCTGACCTAGATACATGTAATTTGAGAATGTGACTTACTTCTTGTCTTTTGATGAACAGCTAAGAAATTTAGACCATATGCACAATTTTTAGATGTAAAATTGAACTTTGATATCAGCGACCTAGATAATTTGATGAAGTGACTTACTTTCTTGTCCTTTGCTGTATAGCTGTCAAATTTGGACCATATATGCACAGTTTTAGATGTAAAATTGAACTTTGATATCAGCTGACCTAGATAATTTGACAAAGTGACTTACATGTACTTTCTTGTCCTTGATATACAGCTATGAAATTGGACCATGTGCACAGTTTCATATTTATAATTGAACTTTGATCTCAACTGACCTAGATTTTGACAAAGTGACCTACATGTACTTTCTTGTCCTTTGATAAAAAGCTATGGAATTTGTAACAGATACATAGTTTCAGATGTAAAATTGATCATTGAACATTATGAAAATGATTCATACTCTGACAAAACAACAAGTGTGACTATCTACCTGTTGTCATAAATAAAATTAAAAAAAAAGGAAAAACTATTTTTTTTCTTTAGTTTTCTTTTTCAAGACTTGTAAAAACGTTTTAATTGTTTGCTTTTAGGAAATCTAAAAAAGTCAAGCGTTGCCCTGTCCCAGCAGTGGTTCTTGTTAGGTTAAAGTTCTCTTGTAAAACTAAAAGCTGTTGTGGGATAAGATTCCATCCAACTGTTTGCTTTTAAATGACATGTTATCTGAAACAGTTCACCAATATTTATGAAAACTGCTAACGGGTAGTTTGCTTGTTTCTTTTTGAAGATCTTACCAAAAGTTATTCAAGAAGTTTTTAATGGTTCCACTTTATTTTTATGCTTCCAAAGGGTGAGCATATAGTCACCGTTTTGTCCGTCCATCCGTACAAACATATAGAACCATAACTCTGTTATGCCTAATTTTGGAGTTATTGCCCTTTGTTTATTTTTACACTTTGAACTTTGTCCGGGACTGTGATGATGATAACTCTGTAACTTTAAGAGGTATCAACACGAAACTTTGTAGAAAGATAGATCTCATTGAGTAGAAGTGCCGTGCAAAAGAACCATAACTTTGCCTTGCCTTATTTTGGAGTTATTGCCCTTTGTTCATTTAACACTTTGAACATTGTCCAGTACATAGTTCTGAAAGTGTAATAAATATGAACAAGACACTTTGTAGGTAGATAGATGTCATTGGGTAGATGTGCAGTGCACAAGAGTCCTAACTCTGCCTTGCCTAATTTTGGAGTTATTGCCCTTTGTTCATATTTACATTTTGAACATTGTCCGGGATATAACTCTGACACATTAAGAGATATGAACAAGAAACTTTGTAGGTAGATAGATCTCATTGGGTAGATGAGCAGTGCAAAGTACAGTAACTCTGTCTACCCTACATTTGGAATTATTGCAGCTTGAACTTTGTCTAGGACATAACTCTGAAATTATAAGAGGTTTCGGGAGCATCACCCGGTGCAACGGGTTCTTGTTTAAAAAGCTTGTACTGTAATAAGTAGAATTTTTATTAGTGGAAGTTTGTCTTGATCTTTAATGTTGGCATGTGATTTACAATTCTATATCATACTGCATAATGAGACTTGTGAAAAAAATCTAGGGTTGAAAATTGACTGAACCTGCTATGAATTTGGAACTGGTCATAATCAACAATTGGATTTTGTTGTATAATGATAAGTTTAAGCAATATTATAGAATGCAAGCTTCTTACTTTGTACTTCTAGGTGCCGTTTTATCAACAATTGTATGCCCGGTTGTAGCTACATGTAAGATATAGTCAAGTTATTGTCTGTACTACTTTAACACTTATTAAAGTATTTAAAGGTTTAAGGATCATGACCTCAGTTTATACAAATATTTTTTCTTTATTTTAGAAATCTCTTCTGCGAGAGCAGACTGTAACAGTATACCATCTATAGATAATACGAAAAATAATGCAACCGGAAGTGGACCTTTTGCAGATGGAACTGTCATCAGGTTTGATTGTGAGATTGGTTTTAACCCAGCTGGAACAAGTCGTGAATACCGGTGTTCTGGTACACAATGGGTAGATGGAAACCTAAGGTGTGAGGAGATTTTTTGTTCACATGTTGAAACACCAGAAAATGGGAAGGTAGTCAATGTTCCCACTTATAGGGTGGGAACAACAATACAGTTTGAATGCAATGAAGGTTATGACATGGTGGGATCTAGCAATAAAATGCTTTGTCGAATTGATGGGAATTGGCTGCCACTAGAACCACCAGTATGTAATATTAAAATGTGTGGCGAATTTGGATCAATTCAGTTTGGTGAAACATTTCAAGATAATAGTTATATTATAAGAAATGGGTATGGAAGCATTACTGAAGTAACATGTGATGAAGGCTATATTATAAAAGGATCTCCACATGTAAAATGTAGGGCAGATGGAACTTGGGGCACAAAACCTACCTGCGAGTTAAGCACATGCCCTCCTTACCCAGGCTTGAACTCCTCATGCATAAGAGATGCAAATCCTTTTGGCCCTTACCTTTTCATTAACTGTAGGGATGATGTGCCAGTGACCAAAACAGGACCTGCTCAGGCTGAATGTATCAAGGGTGCATGGGATTACTTAAACTTGGCTTGCTATTGCCACTGTAAAGTTGAGGCTGATTCGCAGACAATTTCCTTGCAAAATGTTGTAAATGGCTACTTGGTGCATGATAAAACACTAGAATGGAGCTGTAAGAACGGTTATGAGAAAAAAATGCCGGATACATTTCATTGTTTTCATGGAAATTTGATAAAGCCTGAATGTATTATCAAATACAAGCCTACAGTCAAAACCGAGCCTACAGTCAAACCCGAGCCTACAGTCAAACCCGAGCCTACAGTCACACCCGAACCTACAGTCAAACCCGAGCCTACAGTCAAACCCGGGCCTACAGTCAAACCCGAACCTACAGTCAAACCCGAGCCTACAGTCAAACCCGGGCCTACAGTCAAACCTGAAACAACAACATACAAACCACCAGACACTGATGAAAATGCTAGGACGATCAATCCTCCTTCAGAGTCAAACAGTCCAGGTTTATTTACAATTTTATTACTAGTTGCCTGTGCAGTAATATTAGTTGTATCACTGTTAATAATATGTTATTGTGTGCCGTACTGCAAGAAAAATTGTTTTTGCATTGATAATTCAGATGGAAACTGTGAGTTAAACAAAAATTGTATTTTATATCGTTCTCTCTGTTCCAAAGACAATACGAAATGTGGAAATGAGAAAGAAAAATGCCCGTGTGTTACAAAGATGGTGGACGCTAATGGTGATGTGGATGGTGATGGCAGGGCGAAAAAACCCTTCTTTGTAGAGGCCGAATATACCCAGCAAACACAAGACGTCACACTGACGTCGGATGACGGTCGGAAAAAACGGTTGGATTTGAAAGTTTTTTGACGTAATAATCTGACGTCAGTTAGACGTCAGAATCTACCCATTATCTAACCATTTTCTGACCATCTTCCGACCAAAATCTGACCATTATCTAACCAGTTTCTGACCATTTTCCGACCTAAATCTAACCAGTTTCTGACCATTTTCCGACCTAAATCTGACCATTTTCTGACCTAAATCTTAACCCTTTTCTGCCCTAATTCTGACCATTTTCTGACCTTAATCTGATCATTTCCCTAATCCTTCTTGTTTTACCACGTTTTATTACATGCTTTCCAGTGTTTTATTGTAATATATCAGATGATTATATTCTGATAAACCACTAGTGAAATTTATAAAATATAATTTTCACTGTAGCCGGACTATATCTGAATGCGGATGAAAAGAAAATCATAACTAAATGGAATAACAGGCAGAAATAAATGCCGTCATACGTAAATTTTGCTTCTTTAGGAAAAGAAAGTCGATGTCACCATACATCATGTTTAAAATGTAACAAAATTAGAGAAATCTAACAGAACTATATTTCAAAATTGATGATGTGACGTCATGATGTGATGACGTCACAAAGGAGAATGCGCGACGTTACGCTGCAAAATTAGTAAAAAATACTTAAAAACACTTAAAAAGCATGAAATAAACAGAAAATTTATTTGTTTTACATATAAGATTGAAATATATTTCATTCGTGAACACCAGCTATTATATTTTCACTCGTGGCTACGCCACTCGTGAAAATATTGCATCTGGTGTTCACTCAGTGAAATTATATTTCAATCTTACATGCAAAACAAACAAATATCCTCTATATAAATAATTTCTGGCCAATCCTGATTTGATCAAATTTAATGTAACTCATTTTTCAAGTAACTTTAATATAATTTATTCAACTCGTGCAAAAAATTCAGTATTGAACTTATATACACTCATTCAATATCCTCTATTTATGTTTTTTTTATTTAAAATAAAAGTTGCAATTTAAAGCTGATACATACAGTTTTAGTAAATACTTTCATAAATTAAACAAAATAAATCATAAAATAAGTTTATAACAAAACAAAATTAAAGTATTACAAAAACAATGACATAAATGAAGCTAAGAAAAATATAGAAGATATTCAAGTTTCTTCTATAAATACATGATTTATTTTCAACGAGTGGTATGAAAATAAATTTTCACGGGTAGCAGTAACCACGAGTGAAATATGATAATTTTCATACCACAAGATGAAAATAAATCTTGTATTTATAGAAATGACTTGAATTTTCTATTATGTACTTTTTCCTTTTTAACCTTATAAATAAGTGAGAATTCCCTTTTAATTTTGTTTATTAGTTGAATTTAGAAGAAAGTAGTTCGTGAAGACACAAGTGAAAAAAACAGAAAATATCAGTGAAAAATAAATTTTTACAGTGAAAATGCGATAATAAAAATACGCATTTTATTTCATCAATATTTCTCAATATATCATTTATAAGTATATAATAAATACAAATATTAAAGAACAAAACAATGTATGTACATTTCTATCAAAGTTTGCCTTATCAAACAAAATAATAAAAATATTAAATATAACTTTAAGAAAAGTTAAAAGATTCGGATAATAATGTTTCAAGCAATTAATGACAGATTTTCAGTATTTTAACTATATTTCTACAGCATTACTAAAACATTTAGTGCTATTTTGCATATTTTGACCTCCTTTTGATAATTGTCACTAACGTAAAAATTACTTCCTTTTAGTTACTTCACAAAATGTTACTTTTAAATATCCATGAGAACTGGCACGAATTTGAAGGTGTGATGCTTTTCGATATATGACCTTCTCTCACCACCCCTTGTCTGTCAGGAGGATATGTTAATGTCCAATGGCGTTTATGATATCATTTTCACTGAAAAAAATTTTTTTATGAAAAATGGAAGAAATAACAAGCAAAAATGTTTTTCATGGTTATCTGCCCTTTAGAAATTTTGAAAGTTATCTTAACGAATGAACATCTTTCCTAGCTGTTTAGAAGTGAGTTTTAACGAAAATTAAAAGTAAACATAAATACTGAAAATTTAAAAGGCCGCTTCAAAACTCCAGTTTAGTATGGATTAAAGTATTAATTAAATTTACAAAAATCTTACTTTCCCATGTTTCTTTTTACATTATCACGTATTTCTGTCCCTTTGACCTTTGAGAGCATGTCCAACACTTGAACTACCTGAAAAGAAAATTATATTCTAACTTATGTATATTCTACTTTTGAAAATAGAACGGTTACGCAAGTCTTAAATTTTTCATAGTTTCAAATTAAAGATTGCACATAAATTGTTGATAATAAATGTATGTTTATGTACTACGTTTTGTTAAAAAGTTTGTTCTGTTTTGATTGTTCTGATTACATTTTTCCTACTAATGATTAAATGAAGCGTCATTCTATATTACAAAATTATAATTAGATAATCAGCTGATAATAAATCAAGTCGCTCTTTAATTTATTTCCCGTTCATTTATTAGAATGATAATAAAATCTGGTGTAAAACTCATTAAGGTAAGATTTATTCTGATTAAAAATTGGTCCGATTGAAAAAATGTCGAAATGTCTGGGACCGAAACGTCTTTGGTTATTTGGGACCGAAAGGTCTTGGTCCGAAATCGTACAAATTCATACTCAATTCTCAGATTTTAACTGACAAAACATCACAGTTTAATAAGAATATGAAAAGTAAGCATTCTCTTTGGTAGTATTGAAAGGAACATTATAAACTCTTCACGAGCAGAGTTAAAACATGCCAAATTTGAAAAGATTTATTATCAGACATTATTGCGAAATTGTGTTACATTTTGCTTCATCTGTTCAAATAATGATAATTAAATTTAAGAATGCTTGCAATTATGCAAATATTTATCAAATACAAAGTAGAAATAAATTTAAATAAATTGAACTGACCTTTGTTCAAGAAAATCTAGAATATTCACTTTATCAACGCATCCCGATTCCTGACCCACCGCCAAAACGTACTTGTACGAAACACCTACGAATTTGAATTTTCCATCCACGTGGCTGTAGATTCGAATTATAATTATGTTTTCTTTCCTTTTTTTCACTTTGATTGAATGTTAAATCACTATTAAAAACTCGTGATTTTGATACATATAATGTACCACAAATGTTAATATTATAACGTTAAATGATTGGAACTCGTAAACAGATCTGTGGCTATAAATAGATTTCATAACAAGAACACATGTATCTTGTCTATATACAGCGCCACCTTTATGTTTTATTAGGTTGCAGCAACGCACACTTGGTCTCCAAAAGGCACTTGTATATATATATATATATATATATATATATATATATATATATATATATATATATATATATATATATATACTTGTAAATATATACACTTGTAACCCAAAGAACATTTTAAACAGTAGTTTAAATGATTACAACAGCGAATAAGGATTATTTTTTGTTAATTTTTACCTAACGTCAGGACATCGACCAGAACCTGACGTTAGTACGACGTCAAAAAGAAACGTCTAATAGACATCGGCTTTTGGACGTCAGATTTACGTCGTATTTTGGTCGCAAACGTCGTGACCAAAATCTTACGTTAATCCGACGTTATTTTAACGTCATGTGTTTGCTGGGAATGACTCTGGAATACTTTTTTCTGGAAAAAAATTATCTGAGGTTGAAATTTCTGTATCTGAAGATTTGTCCTCAGTAAGTCAATGGTTAATTGATAAAAAGTTATCGTTGCACCTAGGTAAAACTGAGTCCATTGTGTTTGGGTCTAAACAAAAGCTCAGGTCACATTCCAAATTAAACATAAATTTTAATGGCACTGCAATAGAAGCATCCACATCAACCAAATATCTTGGGGTAACTATTGATCAATACTTGTCCTTTGGTTACATGGCAGACTCGGTAATTCAGAAGGCTAACGCCAGGTTAAAGTTCCTTTACCGTAAGAACGATTTCCTTACACAGCATACAAAAAAACTGCTAGTCAATTCTTTAATTCAGTGCCACTTTGACTATGCCTGCTGTGTCTGGTATAATGGTTTAACTCGGGTCTTGAAAAATAAATTACAGACAACACAAAATAAAATGATGATATTTGTTGTAAACCTTGATTCCAGAGTTCATATTGGCCTTTCCAATTTAAAATCCCTTAATTGGTTACCAGTTTGTTAAAGAGTTGAACAAATTATGTTATGTCATGTTTTTAAGGTTAAAAACCAAATGGTCCCAGAGAACTTAAGTGATTGTTTTGTTTCTCAGGAATCTATGCATTCATATTGCACCAGACTGAGTAAAAAAGAAGGGTATTGTCTTCTTAAGGTTAAAGGTTCCGGGTCAAAGTCTTTTAGTTTTGTTGGTGCTAAACTATGGCATAGTCTTCCAACTTGTATTTCTGAAATTAACAAATTTCATCGTTTTAAGGTAGCCATCAAAAGTCACTTTTTAAGTAGCATGTAAGTGTTTTTCTTAAAATTTCTTGCAAGAAAATTTTATATGTTTGAATTATTTTTCGGCTCAGGTTTACTGTTTCATTTTTTGAAATTTGTTTTAAATTTTTTATTAAGACTTTAAAAACTTTATCTTTTTTGAATAGCGTAATCTATGGCATGTTCTTTCCTTACATACTCATAACAACTGTGATAATTTTTTTAATGTAATCTTTTCTTAATATGCACATGATTATTTCTTAATGTGATACTGACTTTTTATTTACATTACCTTACATTTTAAATTGTGATAATTTTAAATGATATCCTTCATTAATGTGATTTTTCTTATAATTAGTGATATTTTTTTCTTTTATGAAAGACCTCTCTTTGTCATGCCACCAAATGCTAAGGACCACAATGGAAATAAGAGCTTGCTCTTTTTTGTGTTATCCTTGGTTTTGCGAACATGTCATGGTTTACATAATATAGTATTTATTAATTTATTTATTCATTTATTTGTAATTGTTTTAATCTATATTGTGTTTGTTTATCATGTAACATGTTTACCTTTATGCCGAAATAAATCAATCAATCAGTCTGTCTGTCTGTCTGACTGCCTGCCTGCCTGCCTGCCTGCCTACCTACCTACCAACCTACCTACCTACCTATCTGTGACAAGCCATGCTATTATAATTAAATGCTAATCACTGGCCAGAGATAGGAAATTTTTGGGGAAAACTGGAAAACTTTGGTTAATGCATAGGACTGTATGTATAACTGATGTTTTGCTTTATTTAAGAAACTTTGTTTCAAAAGAAAATTTGTTTCAAACGTACTTAAAAATGATCTTAGGATACATATTTTAGTGATGGACGGACAAACAGGCGGACATACAGAGGATAAACCTTAAGAACTTCATTTCGGGACGAAATGGACAATTTTAAGAACATCATCTCCATATTGCTATCCTACTGTATGTTTATGAAGAAATTATCTAGTACATTTAAAATAATAACAGATTGCCATTGAAGGAAAACAGTAAAGTGGTTATAAAATTATAGAAAGATCCAAATATTTGTTTTTGCAACATTTTAAGTCTTTATTGATATAATCTCACTTGTTTACTCAGGTCGTATGTCATTATCGGCATTCTTTACATTAATTACATGTACCGATAAACGCTTCTTTTGTTAATTTGAGAGACTGATAGTCCAACTAATTAGATTTGTCAAAGAGACACCGAGATAATTTTGGACGGGCGCTGTCTTTTTCCGAGTCCAACCACGAACTGCATTTTTATGCACGGACGCTTCCCAATTAGAAGTTGTTGGGAGCGAAAACTAGAAAAGTTTCAAAGAAACGGTCTAAATTACCTGAAAGAGAACCGTTTTTTATGCAAGGTTCCAAATTATCATACTTCAAAGTCGAACAGAAGTCTAAATATTCCACTTGAATTTTTTAAATCGTTGAAAATTATTGAAAGCGGCCATATTGGAAATACAGAAGGAATGACGGGTGGGGGAAAAATCCCCGGATCGCCTATAGAAAAGTCGGGACCCGGGATCGTATTAAACATATAGTAATACCGGGAATTGACCACCTACTCTCGGTGTATTATTATTATTATCATCATCATTTCCACGTTTTTGTAGAGATTTCTGAAAAAGATTGATTTGTAGTAGTTATAAAAAATCTTTAAAAATAACGTATTTTTTTCACGATTTTCGGGATCGTATTAAAAAATATAGGGATCCCGGAAATTGACCAGTCTAAAAAGATATTTTTCAGATAAGCCGGGATTGTATTAAAACATATAGGGATCCCGGGAATTGACCAGTTCAAGAATATAGTTTTCAGAAAAGCCGGGATCGTATTAAAATATATAGAGATCCCAGGAATTGGCCAGTTCAAGAATATAGTTTTCAGAAAAGCTTGGATCGTATTAAAACATATAGGGATCCCGAAATTTGACCAATTCAAGAATATAGTCTTAATTTTTTTCCAATTTATTAGGCATATAATTATAAGTATTGTGATTTCCGCATTTTAAGTTTGTTAATAAATAGCTCTAAGTATATTTATATCCTAAGATAAATTAATTTAACGTTCATTACTCAGTACATACAATAAGATAAAAGATAATTATTGCAGGAATAACTCTTTTATTCACACACGAATATTTCAGCATCAAAAATAAAATGTGAAAAGGAAATTTTGATAATCTTACTTAGAAATTAAATAGTTTATATATAAATGAAGTCCGACGTCAGATCATACTGCGTTAAAGTCCGTTTAAATTGTCAAATTAGAAATTATAAAGTTGGATTTTTGAACATCTGTGATCATTAGGTGAAATTTCTGAACTGCCTTTTTATTTTATAACCCTGCCATGATTTCCCACATACGAAAATACAATGTAATTGTAGGTACATCTTAATGAATTATAATTATACTATACATGATGAAGCAAAGAAGAATTTCAATTTATATTACACTCCATATCAATTTCTAGTTTATTATCTTTAAAAAAATTGAGGACAGTTGTGTAGGTGAAGTAGTTTAAAACAACCAAAAATAACTTTAAAATTCTGAAAAAAATTTCAAACTATAAAAATGGAATTTCAGACAGTCCTCAGTAAAATGCAATTGTCGCACATATATGACAGGGTTTATGATAAAAACGCAGCAAGCGGGAATTTAGTGACCGTTTTTAGACGTAGAATAGCATAACAATGTAAGACAGATGGGAGAAATAGTCTGTTTAAATTACTGTATATAGTCGTCTATTAGAACGAATGTCGCAAAATGACACCAAAACCTCTGATACCCATTTAAAATTCCATGTTATCTAGTTCCCGCTTTTCATTGCACGGCACCTCGAATGTGTCACATTGAAAGAAACATTGTTACCGCCGTATTTTGTACACATCTGTGGGTGTTGATTAAAAATTTCAACATTATTATGTTGAAGTGATGAATTCTGTTTAAACCGGCGCAAGGGAGCACTTGCACCTACCAGAGCCGTCTGTGGCACTCATGTGTATTTATGTTTCGCTTTTGCAGTTTCAGGCGTTTTTTGGTGTTTTTTTTGGAGGGTGGAAATGTGGATAAGTTTCTTCTGTTTTCTTTACATTTCTTTGCTTGCTTGCCGAACCTTGTATTGATAATCATTATCTGTTTGTTACGGTTCGGTATACATGTATAAAATATGATAAACAAGATGAACAAGGAAAAGCAGCGTTCAATGAACGCAACCCCCACACGACGCAGGAACAAGAAACATTGGCAAGGAGCCAAGGAGGATCCTAAAAAAAAACAAGAATAAAGATCAACAAGGCAAAGGCAACGTTCACAGGACGCGGCCCCCGACACACTCAAAAAACCTAGAGCGGACATAAGGGTGAAAGGAGTGGGACATGTAATGTGAAATAATATCAACTAAAACGGGCCCATAAGGGAATTAAAGGGACAAGGGCTGTAAGGGTGAAAAGGTGGGGGTGTAAATGGGTGAGAAAAATACTTACCGTCAACGAAAATCCAACAAGACAGACATCACAAAACATGTAATCATCCAAAACAAGTAACAAAACAGACATAAAAAACACGTGAAGGAACACAGAGGGGTACCGCCTTGGAACGGTCAGTGGTAGTTAAACCACTGCAGGGGAGTTTAAACCGGTTTTTAGCGCACCAAACCTCACTCTTAGCCCCAATATGTTTCTGAATGACATTAAAGTGTAAATAAAAATAATCCCCGCCAAGTGAAATTCTAACAATGATCATGGTTACATTAGACGAAATAAATAAAACACATACAACATTATGTAAATATGTATAAAAAGGTACAGCCTAATGACCATTACCAAAGTACTCGATGCCTTAAAGGAAGGCAGAGCAACAAGAAAATCACCTACAAGGGCCCGACGAAGCAAGACAGAAGACGAACATTAAGACAATTCAGTCCCAAAGGGCTTTAAGAACTGTCCATCATAGAGTCTCCCACTTAGTCCGTCAGATGTAATTAAAAGAGGAAAGCGTAGCGTCCAACTGTAAAAGGGTTGAACACCAAGCATGCGGTATGCCTTAAAATAATTGGGTCATAACCTCTTTTAATAAACCGTTTGATAATTTTAGTGAAGACGGCAGAAAAATTACTATGACCCACGATCCTACGAAGTTTGTAAACCACATCTCCATAGAATTCAGGTTTGCTAATACCTAGTCGTAAAAAAGTTTTTAAATTACAATTAAATTTTAAAACTAAGTCTGAATTACGATGGTAAAACTTTGTAAAATATTTACGCAATTTATGATAGCGATAGCCTTGTTTAAGAAGTTTGTAAGAAATAAATAAATTGCGCCCATTAAAATCATCAACACGACTGCACGCCCTAGCAAATCTAATTAATTGAGAAATATACACCCCATATGATGTAGCATGAGGTACATCTCCATCTAAATGTGGAAAGTTAACAATATTAAAATCAAAATCATCTCTTTTATCGTAGATTTTAGTTACTATTGTATTGTTAATGATAGAAATGTTTAAATCTAAAAAAGATGTAATAACGTCTGAAGAGTTTGTTTTATTCAATTTAAGTTCACTGGGATATATTTTAGAAACCAATTGATCGACATAAGGATTATTCCTGTTAAGAATGTCATCTAGGTAGCGGGACACGGCGCAAGGGAGAGCAGGGTCAGGCTTATCACTAAAATGTAACTGAGAAGAAAATCAAAGAAAATAAATAATTGAATGATTAATAGGACCACTAAGTTAACGGGCACAGGGGAAGGGGATATAAAATTCAGGGAAGGGGGAGGGGGCGAAATAAAGAAATAAAACTAAGTGCAAAGGGAAGATACTTACCATATACGAGAAAACAACAAGGGACACAAACAAAAGTGTCACCAAAACAGTATGAAACAACAAGACTTACACCTTATACATGTATAAGTCTCTTTATCTGTTCATTTGAAAATTCTGATCTTCTCAATGACTTTTATTTTAATATCCTCTCCTTAAAATTTATTTCAATTAAAATATGTGACCCTTCCCTTATAGTTACACAGCAATTGCTGCTGAAGCTCAGTAAACTAACCGTTTCAAAGTTATGTATCATCAAAAGCAACAATTTTATAGTCAATTCTAGTTCTGGCTTCCAAAACTTTATAAGCCGCTATTTAACATTTTTGTTTTTCACCTGATGCGGCAATAAAGTTTTGGATAAGACCCGTTACGAACCTAACCAGAATAACATAAGTTGATTTATTCTTATTTTTCACTTGCAAATACACTTGATCCAATCAACTCTTGTGCATTTTACGATAAAACAATTATTTTTAATATCGTTCTATAACAATTAAAGTACGTATCAAAATATTAATACCGTCATTAAAATTGCCTATTTAACTGTAAAACATCAATTAAGTCGACTACAGTCGACCATGACATTTAGGTTCCATGCAAGACCTCGTATGACGTCATTCGCGGGAACCGTTTAGAATAGAGTCGTGTACTATATTTAGAACATCTTTGTTGACATGACTTCGATATTTTTATTCAAGATAATGTTTTTATTTATCTTCATTAATTTT